CGGCACCCGAACGGTCGTAAACACTGCCCGGAATCATGGCTTCTCTGGCGTCAAACATAGCCGTCTGCATGAAGTGTGAGCCGGGATTCATAGAGTTAACCATTTTTCTGGGTTTACTGAACTGAATAAGACTCTCCTTCAAGTTGTTGAGCGGTCCCTCCACTAACACCTTATTCTCTTTATAAAAGGTGAGCAAATGGTTCCAAAGGGGCTGTTTTGACAACACTTTAGGATTGCCCACAACTATAATGCCATATCGAGCTCTGGTCAGCGCAACATTCAGACGTCTCGGATCGTTGAGAAAGCCGATGCCCTGGTGTTCGTTAGAGCGCACGCACGACATGATAATCAAGTCCTTCTCCCGGCCCTGGAAGGCGTCCACTGACGCCACTTCGATCTCTTGATACAGTTTCGCGTGAAACGAGCCGTTGTATTGCATGTACTGAACGAGGTATGCGCGCTGACCCTCGTAGGGGGTAATCACTCCTATCTGTTCCGGTTTGACGCCACACTTCAGGAAACGAGTGGTGATCTTCTCGACAAACGAAGCTTCAGTTCTGTTGAGATACGAAGTGCCGGAACCGGCGATCTCTTCCTGTCCCTGACAGCAGTAGAAGAACATGGGTTTGTCGGGTTGAGGCCACATGAATCCCACTTTCGCACAGCCGGTCATCAGTAGAGTATACGTACACTTATCCGGAGGCACGCGATCTTCGGATATCATCTTATTATACAATTGCAACGCTTTCTTCATCTGAATGGGCTTTTTGTTGATGTATTGATCCAATTGTTTGCTGTAACCGATTGGTGCCATTTTGGGTCCTCTTTTAATCTCTAATTTGTCGTAATTGTCTTCATCTTCGGGTAGATCTTCAGACGCCAATCGTTTATATCGCATATCATTTACGCCAAGATTGCCAAAAGTGTCTGCAAAACGCGGATCAAAAGTAATCGCTTCTTCTTTCGGTCTTTTATTCACATTTCGGATGATATTTGCAGTGATTTTTGGCTCCAATTTCTTCTTCCTCTGCTTTTCAATGGTATTTGAATTGTATTGACATTTGGACGCAAACACGTGTATACTCTGGGATCCATTCAGTGACAGTCTCTGACAGACACCGAGAAGTCTGAGGCCAACGAACAGACGTCGTGTACGACAATAACTAGTCATTAATCAAACTCTCAATTAAACTCACATTGAATTAAAAGTCATTTCAAGTGTTGTTTCAAAACAAGTGTTGAAAACAATTGACGAAAAGTCTGTTTCACTCAATAGACGGCACGACTCGTGGTTTCAATGTTTTACACGTTTTGTTCAAATGATTTCCTTTTCCTTTTGTTGAGTCCTTTTGGCGTTAATTTAACACAAAATGAAAGTAAATATACCTTTAATTTAATTGTTATTGACTTTAATTTAACTAAATTTAGTTATTATTTAAGCCTATAATTAGCGCTCTTTGCGGCGATGTTTTGCTTTTTGTATTTAAGATGTAATTTAGACAACAATTGTTGTGAACACTCATTGAATCTCATTTTAAATTACTTTTAATTGTATTATTAATGTCTAAATTGATTGTCTGTTTGCATCGATAGCTCAATATCTCATATCCGGCGACCGGATGTCAGAAACTACTGGACATCGATGACGAGAAGAAGGTCCGTATCTTTTACGACAAGCGTATGGGACAGGAGGTGGAGGCGGACTCGTTGGGTGACGAGTGGGCCGGTTATGTGGTCCGCATCGCCGGCGGTAACGACAAGCAGGGCTTCCCTATGAAACAGGGAGTCCTGACCAACGCTCGCGTCCGCCTATTGCTGTCGGCCGGACACTCGTGTTATCGCCCGCGCCGTACGGGTGAACGCAAACGCAAGTCTGTCAGAGGATGTATTGTCGACTCCAATCTTAGTGTCTTGGCTTTGGTTGTCGTCCAGAAAGGTTTGCTTACATTTGGATTGTTTATTGCAGTTTGTAAAGTTATTTACGTAAACAAAATTTCCGCTCTTTCTCTAGGGGCCGAACTGACTGTTGTGTTAAGGCGCAGCTAACCCTGGCTTCTCTCGGTTGTTTTAGGCTTTCGATAAATTAAATAGTTTTCTCCATGACGTCCGACAATATGTGGTCCGCAGACCGTTGGCCGTGAAAGAGGGCAAAAAGCCCAGAACTAAGGCTCCGAAGATTCAGCGATTGATTACTCCGAAAGTGGTTCAGCGGAAGCGAAGACGTCTGGCGAAGAAGAGACAGAGAGCTGTTAAGCGCAGAGATCAGGCCTCAGAATACGCCCGACTTCTCGCTCAACGACAAAAGGAGGCGAAGGAAAAGAAGGCAGAGGAGGCCCGTAGGAGGCGATCGTCCGCTTCCTCAGGAGGAGGAAAGACTGCCAGCTCTTCATCGGCTTAGATATACTCGCATTTGAATTTTGTACTCAAATGACTAATTAATAAAATATCGTTGTCTTGAATTAAAACATTTTTTGCATACAATTTATTTTATAAATTATGTCATAAATTGGTAAACATTTGATTGCATTTGGTTTTGCCTTTGAAATGAGTGATTGAAACAATATTTTGGATTCATATGTTTGATTGCAGTAATACATGAATAACTCATAACTAAGGCTTCGAAATTTCGGGAATTCCCGAAGAAAAATAGTTAACAAAATCATCGGGAATTGCATACCATTAGCTTTAGGGGTTATAATAGCCTTAAAATATATAAGTTTTATTTTCCCGATTTTGGCACTTTTTGGGAAAATTACCGATTTTGGTATATTGTTAGGAAAACTCCCGAAAAGCCTCTATTTCATTAAAAATTGCCCGAATTTTACGTTTTTAAAGAAAAACTCTTTAAAAATATGGATTTTCTATCAACATCCTAATTAATTTGATGACAGAATACCAAAACTTGTTGCAAAGTTTACATAATTTATGATAGATTTATTGTATATTATAGTAAAAATCATATTCATATGATTATTAATTATTTTTACCTCCATAAATGTCATTATTTTGCTTTATTAATGCATATAAACCTTTTTAAAATCACTTAAATACATAATTATTATGTGAAAATCCAATAAAAACGTAATTCCCGAATTTTCCCGATTTTGGCCATGTATACTCCCGAATTTATAAGTTTTTATTCCCGAAAAATCTAAGCTCTACTCATAACATGTTAGTTTTCAATACCAATCAAATAAGTTTTATAAGTCATTTAACCGTAAGATTAAAGTGTGAATAAAGTTGTGCCAAGAATTGCCAACAAACCTACTGATGGTGTGCTCTTAATTGTCATGTCGTGCACTCAATATACTAATTATATACTCAAATATTTAATAATCATGTATTGAAATGAGAAAAATTAAAATATAAAATTAATATTCAAATAAATGATAGAAAATGCGAGAATCGATGATAACTGAAGTAATGAGAAAAGTGTTGAATATATGATATGTGTATTCCGTATATGAGATGGCGTTATATATGGCCTCACATACAGACAGTGTTTGCTATTGACTTGAAGTCACATTTAATGTCGATTTACAGGAGAGTGTAATTACATTTCGTTATGATATCGTAATACACAGTAATGTACTGTAAATGACTGTAAATGACTGCAAATGAGTGTAATATCGATATATTAAGCGTTAATTATAACGGCATTCAAATGAGAGCCTAATCTCGCGAACAGTGAATCGATTGAAGCGCTCATCCATTGAGACACTCTTTGGCCAAACACTTGCTTTTCCATCACTCGATCGTATCGTCGATTCAAACCTCCATTGAATGTAAGCATCCATTGGATGACCATCTGATCCATACCTGCCATTTCATGACACACTCTCTTCTCTGCCTTATATAGCGAACAGATATACTGTAATGAGTTGTGAGACATATGGCTTGAGTTCAGGTAATTGTGGTCACAATTCACAGACACTCACTTTCTTAGACCCCGAAGACAGCAATGAGTTGTTGGGCGCCGACACTCAGGGGTCGGAGTTTGACTTCAATGACTTCACTCTTCCCTCTCAGTCGCAGACCAGTCAAGCGGACAATCATTTGTCCCAAAGAAATAATGTATGCATTTTTGGCACTAATTATGTTTCATTACATGTGTTATTAAATAGACGTTCATTTGTTTTAGAGAGAACTCTCCAACGGCTTGTCGGCTGATGTGAACCAAATCAGTCATTCTTTCGGTGAACTGAACTTCGAAGAGGATGAAGAAGACCAGTATTACAGTAAAGCACTTCCAGAGCACGCGTGCAAATACTGTGGCATTCATGACCCGAGTTGTGTTATTCAATGCAATCTCTGCAAGAAGTGGTTCTGTAATGGCAGAGGAAATACGTCTGGCAGTCATGCGGTGAACCATTTGGTCAGAGCTAAGCATAAAGAGGTAACGCTTCACAAAGACGGGCCTTTGGGAGAGACTGTACTCGAGTGTTACAGCTGTGGCTGTCGTAATGTCTTCGTTCTCGGCTTCATTCCGGCCAAAGCCGACTCAGTGGTGGTTCTGCTCTGTCGTCAACCCTGTGCTGCACAGAGTTGTCTAAAAGACATGAATTGGGATCCGGATCAGTGGAAACCACTCATCAACGACCGCACGTTCCTCTCATGGCTGGTGAAAGTGCCGTCAGAACAGGAACAGCTGCGCGCGCGACAGATCACTGCACAGCAGATCAACAAATTGGAAGAGCTGTGGAAAGATGGCAACATTGAGGCCACGTTTCAAGATTTGGAAAAACCCGGCGTCGATGAAGAGCCCCAACAGGTGTTGTTGCGATACGAAGACGGCTATCAATATCAGAACATATTCGGGCCGTTAGTGAAGATGGAAGCGGATTACGACAAGAAGCTAAAGGAATCGCAAACGCAGGACAACATTGAGGTTCGATGGGATATCGGCCTCAATAAGAAGATCATCGCTTTCTTTAATATCGCCAAATCGGACACTGATATGCGTCTAATGCATGGCGACGAACTCAGACTCCGCTATTTGGGCGAACTCCTCAAGCCGTGGGCCGGTGTCGGACACGTGACTAAAATTCCCGATAACTTCAGCGAAGAGGTGGGCATAGAGTTGAAGAGCAATGCAGGCGTTCCCACGGAATGTACCTCTAATTTTGTTGTGGACTTTGTGTGGAAATCGACATCATTTGATAGGTTTGTATTGAGTTTTTGATGATATACTATATTAAGTGTTGATAATGGGATGTGTTTCTACCCGACATAGAATGCAAGGAGCGTTACGTAAGTTTGCAATGGATGAGTCCTCTGTTTCCGGTTATATATACCATAAACTTTTGGGCCATGAGATCGAAGACGTTGTGATGCGGTGTACGCTTCCTAAACAGTTCTCAGCGCCTAATTTGCCGGAATTGAATCGATCGCAAGTCTATGCCGTCAAGCATTCAGTTCAGAGACCCCTATCGCTAATCCAAGGCCCGCCAGGAACTGGAAAAACAGTCACTTCGGCAACAATTGTGTATCATTTGGTGAAGACTGGGAATACGCCTGTTTTGGTCTGCGCTCCGAGTAATATAGCTGTGGATCAGTTGACTGAAAAGATCCACAAAACTGGTCTAAAAGTGGTTCGATTGTGCGCTAAGAGCAGAGAAGCGATCAATAGTCCGGTGTCTTTCCTGGCGCTGCACAACCAGATCCGCAATATGGACGGACACTCAGAGCTCCATAAACTGCAACAATTGAAAGACGAAACCGGAGAACTGTCTTCGGCTGACGAAAAGAGATACCGAATATTGAAGAAGACGTGCGAACGGGAACTGTTGGAAGCGGCGGATGTGATATGTTGTACGTGTGTCGGCGCCGGAGATCCCCGTTTGGTTCGCTTCAAATTTCACTCCATACTAATCGACGAGTCAATGCAGGCCACAGAACCCGAATGCATGGTTCCGGTTGTTTTGGGGGCCAAACAGTTGGTATTGGTTGGAGACCACTGCCAATTAGGACCAGTGGTTATGTGCAAAAAGGCGGCGCGCGCTGGCCTTTCGCAGTCTCTGTTTGAAAGATTGGTTGTGTTGGGAATACGACCGCTCCGTCTCGAAGTGCAGTACCGAATGCATCCGTCGTTAAGCAAATTCCCGTCAAATTTCTTCTACGAGGGATCGCTTCAGAACGGCGTCTACTCTGACGAGCGAAAGATGAAAGGCATAGACTTCCCGTGGCCTCAACCCGACAAACCCATGTTCTTCTACTGCTGTCAGGGACAGGAAGAGATCGCCGGTTCCGGCACTTCGTATCTCAACAGAACTGAAGCTTCGTTTGTCGAGAAGATCACCACTCGTTTC